TGTGTGTGTGTGTGTGTGTGTGTGTGTGTGTGTGTGTGTGTGTGTGTGTGTCAGGTGTGGTTCTCCATGAAGAGCACATCGAGCTGCTGACAGAGGATTACAGAGAACTGAAGAGAACCGTCGCTGGAAAAGTCCTGCAGAAAGGAAGTCTTCATTTCACTGGTGAGTGCTGGGCTGCCTCCTGGGCTGCTTCTGGGTTCCATACCGTATGTCTCCTTGCCTGCCCTCTCCATATGCTGCATGTGGCTGCGTTCTGAGACTCGACCCGTCAGCCCACCCGGGCCACTCCCAGTGAAGCGGCCCAACAGCTTTTCTGGCTGAACAACGAGCTGAGTCTGCATGTCACCACCTTTTTCATTGACCTCTGATCCACACGCTGGGTTTCCTCCCGCCGTCACGTGATCCAGCGTCTCTCTGAGGGTTTTACTTCCTGTGACCAACTAGAACTAACTGATGTTTGTCAGCCATTTGTTTGCTTTCTAACTGTGCACTGGGCGTGGCTGTGGGGGGGACACTCTAACCCTCCAGAGCTGTGGCTCTGCTGACCACAGCGACTGACTGGTCCTCTGTGGTCATGTTCACACAACACACTGGTTTGAACAAAGAGAAATAGAAATCCTCAAAACAGCTCAGAAGCTCCATGACGAAGGAACTGTAGGTTCTCGTCCTTGTGTTAGAATATGGAGCTTCATCACATACCGGAGCTGGACTGTAAGCTTTGACATCTGCAGCACTCTGATACCTACCCTGAAGCACTGTGGTGAGCTGGAGGAACGCACTGTGGACATTCCTGGAGGCTTCAGTGAAACAGCATCTTCACTGTTGCTTCTCTGTGATGTCATCTGATTGGATATAGTTTCATTTCCAGTCGGTGTGTCAGGTCATTCTGTGGCAGTAATTGTGTCATTTGTTCCAGGTGGTGCTCTGAAGCCTGGATTTGGTTTCCTGGCGTTCAGTGGCATCGCTCGCCTCACCTGGCTGGTGGATCTGTTCGGTGAGCTGTCTGTAACCGCCGCCACCGTGGAGGAGGACGTTTCCAGGAGCTACAGCAAGATGACCGCCACACTGCTGACCTCTGACAACAGGCAAGAGAGGAAACACCTGGTCTGCATAATGTCTACCAGCCTCAGCTCAGCCCCCCCAGACTCAGCTCAGCTCAACACCCCCAGCCTCAGCCTCAGCCTCTGGCCTGTTTTGTTGTTGCTCAACTATTAAAGTCCAAACATCCAGTTTTACGTCAGTGTTCTGTTAGCAGGTAGAACAGCTTTGGGTCGGTTCTGTTAGCCACTCTGTGTGTTGTATGTTTGGGTGCTACCTCAAATGAGAACCAGGAATGTGTTTTTCTGCAGAGGCCGCTGAGTTGGGCCGTGTTCAGCCTCTGTTATGAAACTCAATGAGAGACTGATGACGTGCATGGGAGGGATTTAAACCTGAACTATGCCTGTCTCCTTCCAGACCTCTGGTGTGGATTGAGGAACGGGGACCAGGCCTCCCCAGGGCCAAGAACATCAACTTCCACTTTGACTCTTGCACTTTGACTCAACTGCCTCCTGCCCCCAGAGCGGCTGTGGGCCTCTTCATGCAGGATCTGATCCACTTCTCTGCCAAGCTGGCCAACCAAGTGGATCCCAAGGAGCTGCAGAGAGAGAAGGTCCGAATCCTGCACTGCTTGGAGCTGGCACAGAGGATAGAGCAGCTGTGCCAGAGCTAAATGGGCCTGTCCGGTTCAGGACTGTCATCGACTGGAACATGAATGTCTTTGTTACCTCCACGCCGTTTGATTTTGTACTAAGTTGTAAACATTTAAAATAATCTTGACTAATTATTGATCACCTGGAGCTGAAGAACACATGGTACCGTTTCATAGAGCAGGTCTGCATCATCCAGCAGAGGCTCAGTGGGCGGCACTTCCTGTGTCATCCGGGCCGCCGTCATTACCTTCATCAAACAGCCGCCTTATCGCTCATGTTTGTTTTTGCCTTCTAAATAAAGCTGAATGTTGCTTGCTGGCCTACTGGAGCGTCTTTGTTTCCTCTCCTGCTGCGGTGAGGCCAATTTGATCAGAAGCTCTCGACCCCATTCAGACTGATGCCGTGTCATTACTGGTCCGTCTGAACGGATCGGTATCCTCCTTTACTTTGGGCTTTGGTTTAACGTTGCCAGATTTCTGTACACGAGCATCTCATGTCTACCAGCAGTGCAGATTGATTGATTCTGAACAGGAATGAGATGTTTAGTTTGTTTTGGTGGGCGTCCTCTCCAAGCGGCCAGCTCCACCTCATTCCTCTGATGTTCAGCTGGAGTCACAGCAGCCACGCCAGAGCAGCTCTTTGTCTTCTTCTCATCCATTCTTGGTGCTTTTAGTCTTTGTCTTTTATTCGAATTTGTTTGATGATCTGAAACATCTGCATCGTCTGAATCAGCTGAGACCTCTGAGGATTCAGACAGAAGCTCCGAGCAGGGCCGATATGCTACAACACAACTGTTTGTGTTTCCAGGTAGGCTGTGAAAGACTCAGACTAAGCTTCGTCTAAGGGTCGTTGTATACCAGCTCAACCAGAGGGTCCCAAGTCACCCTCTCAGATTCCTCTGAGAAACATCATGTGTGCTCCTACACCAAGAAATCCCAAATATTAGGTCTCCATGTGGAATGGGTTTGAAATGTGCGTATGTTTAATGTGTTTTGGACATTAATAACTCATCCAGGACAGCATATGGAGCTCTGAAACAGTCTTCATAAGGTTGGTGTAGGAGCTCCTGAGATCTTTTCTTCACAGGAATCTGAGCAGGTGACCTGGAAACGTCTCTGAAGTTGATTTGATGTTGAATGACCCCCAAGTCATCTGGGAAAGACTCCACTAAAAAAACATCAATACATCCTGATGTTGTGTCTGCACAACCTGCAGCCGGTATCTTTCTTTTAGATTTTTCTGAGTTCAGTGACGCACCATGAGCCCCTAGAAAGGAACCAGGCTGTAAACAACAGAAATCATGAGGTGCTTCATAAACTGTGAAAAGAAGAGTCACAGCACTGTAAAACCGTTTTAATGTGTTCTGACACCATCAGTGACCAACCTTCTGTCCAGTCAGCTTACAAAACATAGATAACAGGCTCTTCAGAACATGAACACTGGGTCCAGCATTGTCCTTCCACTCAGTGACCCTACACCAGCCTAGCTACATGAGAAGACAAACTTAGATGTGAACAAAAGCTCCTGCCTTGGAAACTGTACACGGCACCGAGCTTTACAGACCTAAGAGGAACCTGCTGACAGAAGCTTGTTTGTTGAATCATCCAGAACTGGGCAGACGAGGGCTTTTCCATCTTCACGACTCACCTGTGAGCCTTGGAGCTGATGCTGCAGTCTGACCGAGGTTCACTGGGACTATCTGCCGTGGCATGACGTGGAGGTGTGTGGAATATCACATTTCCTTTATCCACTGCCTTAGTAGTGAGACAGAACCTGGATGTGAGCTCAACAACGGATGGAAGAGAGTGCACCACTACACAGGTGTCCAAACATCCAGTACAACCCTGTGTGATGGACCCGGATCCAGCAGCATTCACCTCATGGTACACGTCCATACCCTGACCTGAGCTGTGTTTTTATGCTTCATGTCTGTTCTCTGGTCTTTCACACGTGTTATTACTGTGCATGAGGCTCTGAGCTTTGCTACAATGCAGGTGTGTCTGAATGTAGCTTTAAAAGGTCCTGGAGCTGCTCTTCTGATGTGCTGTCACACAAACCCTGCGCCTCAGGTAAGCACACCTGCACCAGCAGCCCAAAGCCATTGCTTAGGTGAGGAGTCTGTTCTTCAGGTTGATGTACTTGGAAGTTGGTTTTGGCTGCAGCGTATCCAGTCCTACAAATAATCTCTGAAAAACTTCAAAAGTTTTAGCCAGTTTGGGAGGATAATCCAGGTTCAGGGCGTAGGTCAGGCCCAGCAGCAGGCAGCAGGCCTCAGACATGTTGTCCAGACCCGTCAACACCGGAGTCCCATCGATGACGATGCCGACGGCGTCTGGCTGGTGACAGATGTAGATCCTCATGCTGTGCGTCTGAAGGTCCTCCAGCACTTTACTCTCTGCTGTTTTCTGAAACACATGGAAACAGTTGTTTACATCTGAAAACATTGTCGTACAAACTGGTTAAGATGATGCTTAACCAAAACCCCGTCTGACGCACGGAGAGCAGAGCCAGAAACACTGAGGCCTGGATTACGTACACAGATCAGGCTGGAAGCATCATTTACGAATGGATCAACCGTGCAACTGCATTTCCTGTTAGAGATGTGCAGAAAACCCTTTAATGGCATCTCTATCTGTAACTGTTGAGGCACTAAAATGATTTGTGCCTGAATAAAAGCAGACGGAGGCATCCAGTCCTTGTTCGTAACTACACCTGCAGAGCAAATCAGAACCTGTCCCACTGTGAGCACATACATCAGCTATTTTCTCCTCTTTATTATTATTGTTCATGATAGTTTTTGCATATTTTCACCACTTTACTGTTTAACATCAGACAAATGTAAATATCAGACAAAGAAAACCCGACTAAACACAAAATGCAGTTTTTAAATGATTGTACTTAAGGAAAAAAATTATTCAAGTCACTGCCCGCTGAACCCAAGACCTGGTCAGCAGCAACAACTGAAATCAAGCGTTTTCTACAACTGGCGATGATCTTTCACATCTCTGTGGAGACATGTTGGCCCGCTGTTCTACAGAACTGTTTTATTTCAGCAACACTGGACGGTTTTCCAGCATGAATGGTCTTACCCAGTTTAGCTATCGGGGTGCCCGGGTGGCTCTCCTTTAACCCGCTAGGTCTCCATGGTAACTGATACTGTGGAGCTAGGTCTCCATGGTAACTGAT